TTCCGGGAAGCGGGGAAAAAGAAAGAAAAAGAGGGAATCGTATACTCGAAGTCGCAATCCGCTGTACCTCCAATAACGCCGATTAAACATCGATAGCCCCAATCGATCGATCCCTCCCCTCGAATCGGACCCCACGTTAAATCTAACCGGAAACGCGAGTCGCGGAATCGGGTTTTCGATTTCGGGAATTCCGCGGGTCACCCCTCCCCCGTCCTCCCCGTGAGAAACGCGACACCCCGTGGAATCCGCAGAAAAGATCCGCGCGGAATTCCCGCGATTCCACGGGTATCCTACCTTATCTACTGCCGAGGGTCCAGGAGGTAGGGGAGGCAAGGGGAAGGATCGAGAGGCGAGTACCTCGCTGGCCAGAATCTCGGAAAAATCACGGGAGGATCCGCGAGGAGGGCAATTTGTCAGTTCGATCGGACGGGAGCGGAATAAACAGCGAGTGGCGGCCAACGAGTGGGAGGGAGAGCGCGCGATGCGGCGCCCCGTTAAACAGAGCGAGACGGAGCGCCTCGACACCGATATGAACGAGGAACATCCTCGGGAGCGACTCGCCTCTCGATTCGCGTATTTCAGGATCTTACCTAAACCCAAGTGGTCTGGCGTCCCGCCATGCATCATTTTAATGACACGAGCATCCCTCACCGAAGAGAGATGCTTTTAATGCGATTTTGGCAAGGCCCCCTCTCGCCGACGCGTGTACCTTCGAAATAAATCTGTAACTACCTATCAAAGCGGTCCTCGGATGTCTTCCTAGTCCCTCTTTTTGATCCACCCCCGAGGGCGAAAATATTCCCGGATCAGGGAGGCTGATGGACCACGAGGATCTTGGGAGGTGTAAAAATTTTTATAACCGTCCCCCTCCTTTTTTAAACCTCTGGGGGGGTCCTTGAGGGGGCGAACTTTTTTCGCCGCCGATTCTTTCCTTTCCGAGGTCGTTGGCAGGACCGTCGTCGCGACGCGTTAAGGCGACCCGACGTCTACGTCGAAAGGACGGAGAGAGCGAAGGGAAAGGTCCCCTGAAGAATGGCGTAATAAATATACGAGCCGTATGGCGGCTCGAACACCGTTGCAAATTTAATTTGCCCTCCCAGGTCCGCCTAGGACGTGCCATTTCCACTGGGCTTCTTTCCCTGCGGAGCCGCTTTCTCCCCGTTTTTTTTTTGCGCCCTGAGAGCTCTACTAAGGGCCTTAACTTTCCCGAAAACTTGGCCGAACCTCCCTCGAGGGCTCCCCTCTCTCTCTCCTTTTCTCTATCTCGCCTCCGAGAACGACGTTAACGCGTTAACCAACTGCGAGGAAATTTTCCAGAGGACGCGCCTACGCCGAGAAGAGAGACGTTCCCTCGAATGGTGCCGAAGAAATATTTCGCTGCCTCAAGAAATAATTACTTGACTCTAATGAATTGCCGTAGTTTCCCAGAAACTTTGGTCAATTAATGATTCATTGAATTAACTTTGATGCCATTCGAAGAAACGTATCTCTTCGGCTCGGTGAATTTTTTTTTTCCTCAGGGTGAGCCAGGAAATCCCCGAGAAAATGATATCCACTTCTGGGTAACTCTTCGTTTTCTACATTTTCCCTCTTTTTTCGTCTTTTATCAAGGGAAATATTACCTCGGCCACCCAGGTGGATAATTTTCAATTAATCCCATCGCGACGCCGAACGGAATCTCCCTAAGCGGACGGCCGTAGTACATTACTCGCGTGCGGATTTATTTCCGTCGAGCACGCGTCACGATGTTGTACGTGGGCGAGAAAAAGTCTTATCCACCACGTCCGATACACATGGCCGATGTGACAATCGCGCGCGCGAACTCGAAGACCGAGGACGACGCGAAAATCCCGACCGCGCGGAGATTCCGCGCCCCGCCGACCACGCGGCCGCCTATCGCGGTAATTTCGAAAACAATGGTCCCCGGCCTTTTGTTACGATCTCGCCGGCTCGATAAGTAAAGCATGCCGTTACGGTTTTCGTGTCGCTAGGACGCGTGCACGAACCTCTCGTCATTACGCTCACGCAACTTCCCACACACCCGGTGATAACGAGACCTGATAGCGCGGATCAATCCATGGCCCGAGTTCGATCTCGCGAATTCCCGACTGTCATTCCTAATTTCGAGTCCTGCATCGGCGGATCAGTCATTCCTATTCGCAATTCTTACTCCTTACCGCGAAACCCGGTATCCCAATTTCGGGATTCCTCATTCCGAAAATTCCCAATTCGCGATTTCCCGTTCCCGGCCTCGGGAAATCCCGACCTTGATTCCCAGCCTCGTATTAACGATCCGGATTCGTAATCCCGATTCGGCATCCCGGATTCCCGAGTACCAATTCGAAATTTCTGCGAGTACCAATTCCGAAAATTCGCGATTTCGCGTTCCCGAACTCGCGAATCGATCATTCCCGATCTCGCGAGTGGATCGGCGAGATCGAAGAGAATCCGTCGGCCGGGTCCCAGCGGCGCGTGTTTATTGATAGCGCTCAGCTGTTTTCTTTTGGCAAGTAACCTCACCAGAGACAGGAACCGCTCGATGTCGTCAGGCGTTATTGTTATTTTGAGCCCGTCGCCGAAGGTTCCGGCGGATAAGCGTGGCGAATAGGGACTTTTCGATTTTCCTCCCGGTTTTTCTTTCGACCGACCCTCAAGTTCGGCCCAGGGCTATTTGCGTGTCCGCGACAAATCAGGACAAGGTCCCGCTCTCCCGGCGCGTCTTCTCTCATCTCCGCGTGTCCATATCTCTTCTGCCTCCCCGGTGATCTCGCGATCTCCAAGAAATCGACACGTCAAATTACCGACTTCTAATCTCTACTGCATGTCGCGTTATTCCTAAATACACAGTTCGCTCGATCGTATCCGCAGTCGAATCGCGGGATTACGTATTGATACCTATAATCTTTAATTTCGATGACATCGCGCGGCTATCACTGGCTTGACTTATAGAACTCTCCGTTCAACTCGAGGCCGAATAATATTTACACCTCGAGGTGGAAATCCGAAATTGTTGCTTTTGAATTACCCTAGCCCTCAGAATTCGCAATTTCCATCGGAGATGCCCGAGAGAAAATCTTAATGAATTTTATGCCGTAGATGATTTTTTAACTCGGTTCAAGAGAAATGATTTCATTGAAAAAGAAACGGTTTTTTTTTTCTCAGTGTACACGTCGCCGTAGGTCGTAACTCCACCGGAAATTTATCCGAGTCCGGTGCTCTATATATAAAGGGACGAGGGGGGGAGGGAAGGGGAAGTTCGCTTTTATCGGCGAGAATCGAATAAAAACGAATCGATTGGCCGAAGAAATATCGGCCGTGCGATTCCATTTAACCCGAGGAAATTCGGATCCCTCCCCAGGGTGGGAAGGGGTGCACGTCCCCCTCTCTCGTGGGAGAGAGGGAGAGGGTCGATTATTTAAATTCGAAACTCGATCATCGAATCCTCTTTCCGGCGACATTTCGGGAATTTTCGGGGAGGGTACTCGGAATTCTGGAGGCGGGTATAAACGTTTACAAATGGAATTCCGAGTGCTTGCAGCCACCCCCGAGGGAATCGGGGGTGGCATCTGTGTATCGGGCGCAATTCGGGGCAAACTCTAAACTAAAGCACCGAGAGGGAGACGGAGGAACCGGAAGACGGAGTCGAGCCGTGGGAACTGGGGGAAAAAAAAGAAAAAGGAATGGAAATCCATATCGAATCGGGACGCGAGGATTAAAACGGGACGCGCGGACGTTCCGAGTCTGAAGGAAGAGATGGGGGAAAAAAAAGGAGAAACGTAATAATTCGGAAGGAGACGAGGGAGCGAGGGTTTCCCGAAGTCGCGGAAATCTCGGGAATAAAATACGTGACGGGTTGAAAATCGGGAGACTGGGGGAAAATGAGGGAAATGGGGAAAATCAGCCGCTGGGGGGAAACGACCGATCGGTCGCCGGGACAATCATTGCCCTTTAAACCGCGCACGTGATTTATCCCGGGGGTGACCCGAGCTCACGGCGACACATTGTCGAATATTCCGCTGTATAATTAACGCCGACGTCCATTTAACGAGTTGCGCGGGCCGGGGGTGGGAGGGGGTCGCCCCTGATTTTCTCTCAATTTACCGGGACATCCGCAATTAGGGCCGAGCAAAGTGCCCAAAGGGACGGGCAAACGATGTAAACATTTAACGTTTCCATCACGAAAATGAAATCCCATCCGTAACGATGGATCATCACCCCCTACTCCCCGTGGGGGCAATTCTGGGTTAAGGGGATGCGAAAGTGGCAACCGAGGAGTCAATCCTATGGGGAACTTTCCTCTAAACTGGGTTTAACGAATCGTTTCAAACCTTGCGACGCGAATATGTAGGCTAAAAAATGGCTATTGAAAAATGTGTAAAAATTGATATGACTCTGTACATCCAGGTAGGAAGAAAGTTTCACGAACGATTGACTCCTCGGATGCCATTTTCGCATCGCCTTAACTCCGAATCCTCCTCTGGAAAAGATCCCGGCTGGGGATCGCGTAATCCACGATTAACTCCGGGTCCACTTTTTACCTCTCATATTTCCCTCCCCGGGGGAAGGAGGACGTTCGCGAGGCGGCTCGCCCGGGGAAGCGAATCCAGTTCCGACTCCGAAAACAAAGCCCCGTGAGCGAGCAAACTCCGGGGAGCGCCTCGAAATTCCTCCGCAAGACCTCCGACCCCTCTAGCCCTCTCGTTCTATCTCGCGGTATCAAAGCTCCTTCCTCGGTCCATTCGTTAAAATATTTCCAACCGTGTTTTCCTTCCCGTTTCTGGGAAAATATCACGAAAATACGGGAGACCCTCCGCGCGGGACTGATAAGAGTCGCGAGAAAACCCGGGACTCGAGGGGACGAATTCGAGAGTGCGGAGTTTCCATAATTTCTTTTCAAATATTTCCTTTAGCAAAATCCGGGGTCATGCATTTTTTTTTTTTTTTCTTCGGTGACTTTGGAACCATGATCCTCTCTTTCCTGAACCCGGAGACGGACTTACGCGATGCAGTCAGTCGTGGGTCCTCTTCTGGGCCGGCCCTCTAGGTGCACCGCGGTTGCGCAACTCCTCTCGCAATTCCACCGGTGACAAAGTCCTTCGTTAAAGTGGCTCCTCCGCTTCTCTTCCGCTTCCGGCCTTCTCAGAGAGGGGCTGCGGCGGGGATTCGCCGTCTAGTCTCTTCAGGGTTCCCGAAATTCGACGGGCAGAGCTTCGTCGCGACGCGGACACCTCCTCGGGCGAGCATACTTGACCGATTGCACCGAAGTCGTCCGGACGTCACATCGGAGCAGGTTGTCCACCTGTTATCACCGGTCGATCGATAACCGGGAATTAATTCCGTGGGAATTAATTTCGGGTATTAACTATCTCCGAATTAAATTCCGGAAATTAATTCCTAATAAAATCGGCAATTTCTTCGGGAGGAGGGATTATTCGGGACGATGCAAAACCTGTAAACACGCGATCCGTTTACTCGCTCGAGACGGCTTCGTAAACGAAGTACTCGCGCGCGACTCGCTCCTAGCCTTGAATCCTCGAGGCTGACCGTGAAACGCGGATTCTCTATCGCGCACTCGCTCACTCGTCCGATAACGACGGCCGATAACCCGCGTTCACTCGCTCTGCTCGCTCTACGAGACACTCGCTTCCGTTTCCTCGATCCTCCGCCGGCCGCGACGGGGATAACTCGATACGGTGATAAGGATCCTCGAAGAGAACGAATTCCCGATCAGCTGTTCGCGAGGTCTCGAATCTTGAAAATCGTCCCTCCTCGATGGTGATAACTCGACCCTTCGCTTCCGACCTGGTGATAAGGATCCTCGAAGAGGAGGAACTCCCGAGCTCCCTGCGATCAGCTGTTCTTGAAACCCTGATTCTTAAAAATTATCCCTCCGCGCCGGTGATAACTCGTCTCTTCGCTTCCGACCCGATGATAAGGACCCTCGAGGAGGACGAAATCACAAGTCCTCTTCGATCAGCTGTTCCGTCCCGAATCTTGAGAAATGTCACTTCGCGCCGTCGATCCCAGAGGCTCTTATCGGAGTCGGTTAGGTTCCGCGATAAGGTCTGCCACGGAGTCGCGGTCACTCGCGGCCGGTAGTCGCCGGCGATCTCCCGAGGCGTGCGCGCGGCGCGCGTCGCGGCGCGAGTGACAGAGGAAGAGGGAGCGCGAGGGAGCTCGAGAGAGGCCGCGCGGCGCGACGGGTCGGCCGCGACTGAGGCGAGTCGCGCCCGGTCGCGCTCTGGTCGCGCTCGAGTCGCCGCGATGCCGACTCGAGCTTGAATGAGTCTCGCGCCGCGGACCGCCGGCTGAGGGAGAGGGAGCGACCCCACCGAGGCGGGTGCGAGGGAGAGCGAGCGACCCCACCGACGTACGGGCGCGAGGGAGAGTACCACCCCTCGATGCGGGGACGAGAGAGACGGCGCGACCCGCCGACATGCGAGCGCGAGAGAGACGGCGCGACCCGCCGACGTGCGGCCGAGGGAGAGGCAGCTGACCCGCCGGGGAAGGTGGGAGGGAGAACGAGGTACCCCCGAGACGTGGGTACGAGAGAGAACGAGCTACCCTCGCTACGCGGGAGGGGCAAAATTGCGAGGGCGAAACGGACCGACGCGAGGAAAATGGATTCTACTCGCTTTACGAGCGCCCCGGACGAGATGTACCTCGGAAGATCAATCGATTAATGACCATCATCCGGATGATCAATTTTCTCCCGTAGATACGAGCAGCCGAGCACTTATACCCTGGACCTTCTATCGCCGTCTCACTCGCGAGTCTGTCGCACGCACTCGGGACTAAATGAAGATTATCTAAGAATTTACGAATTTCAAGACCAACACCTTTATTCTGCGAAATAAAGTCGAGCCCGTTCTACGGCTTATCATTGACAATTGTCGCAATTACCGATCCTATTTCTGGACACCCAACTGCATTTTATCATCACCTCGCGAAAAGACTAATGAGCGACAAACTGATTCCCCTTATCAACCCTCGATAAGGTCGCATCGAAATCGACAATTCGACAGAAATTCGGCCAATCGAATCCTATACATTCGAGAGCTCGCTTCCGTCGATGCAGCTCGAATTCCGTTTTTCCTCCTCACTTGTCCTTTTTTTGTTTCTCACGTCCCGATCAATCGATATGTCGCGATCGAGGTCGATCGACGAGCGTTATTGCGAGCAATTACGCGTTGCGCACTTTTGTTTGACACAACGCCGGGGGTTTACGATCGAGATTTGCGGCGAATTTGATTCAGTCATGTCGCTGCACCTCTTTGCGAACATTCGCAGGTGCAATTCGAAAAAAGTAGGAAACCACTTAAAAAATAACCCGCGACAATGACATCGGTATCGAACACGACAGTGTCCATAGAGAAGCCGAAGAGGTTAAACCAGTACCTAGGAGCCGTCGCTGGTGAGTCCTTGCCGGAAGTTTTTTCCCCCAGCGAAGGATTAATTTAAGGACAATTTTCCCTCGGTTTCCAATATTTCTCCCCAGCATCTCTGGGCAGTTTCGCGATTGGCGTGAACCTGGGCTGGACCTCGTTCGGCACGTCCACCCTGATGTCAATAGGCAATGCCAGTGACGGCCAAATTGGAACGGTCGCGGTGATACCGCACGCGGGTGGCCTGATAAGCCTAGCAGTGCTGCCATTCGTCCTGTCCTTTGACATGAGTAGGCCAACCATGATGCTCTTCACTATCCCTATCAGTCTCATAGGCTGGGCCTTCGTCTGCTTCGCGGATCAGCTGGTATCGAACTCCGAAAAAAAAAAATGATAAGGCATACGGATTGACTAAACACCTTGACAAAACGCTTTGACAAAGTCCGGTCCCCCAGGTCTGGCTCGTGATCATCGGGCGGATCATCTGCGGCTTCTCCGTCGCGATCTTCTGCAGCTTGACCCCAGTCTTCATCGGCGAGATAGCCGACACCGAGGTCAGGGGTCGACTTTTAATGCTTCATCAGCTACTCGTAAACTGCGGCATCATGTACGCCTACGTCATCGGCTTCGTCCTGGAGGAATCGGAGTCCCTGTGGAGGTTGAGCCTGATCTGCGCCGTGGCGTGTGCCCCGATAGCGCTCGTCAACCTCATCCCCGAGAGTCCTCTGTACCACGTGATAAGAGATGACAAGAACGCAGCTCGGAGATCGCTGGAGTGGTACCGAGGCGAGGAGTACAAATTGGAGGACGAGCTGGAGGAGCTACACATTTTGGCCAAGGCGATGAAGTCTCCCCTGGTGAGCAGACCCTGAAGACCCCTCTGATGGTCCTCTTCGTCTACCTCCAATGATCCGTTTCCAGACCAGCCTCGACTTCCTGAAGAGGCGGAAGCTGCGACGAGCACTTCTCGTCTCGACCCTGGCCACTGCCGTGCAACAACTCTGCGGAGTGACTCCGTTCGTCACCCTGTCGTTGTTGTTCTTCGACAACATGGATTCGGGAGACATGACGAGTGGAGACCAGACCCTGGTCGTAGGCGCGGTGCAGATCCTGTCTAGCGTCCTAGCCATCTTCCTGGTGGACCGACTGGGACGAAAAATCCTGCTGACGGTGTCTTCGGCAGCCGTCGCACTCTGCCTCTGCCTCCTCGGTAATCCCCGAAGCCAGATAATTCGCGATTCACGCGTCAGGGACGAGCATTTTATTTTTAGAGACGACGCCTCCTCCGGGTTATTACTTCTAAGGAGGAGCCTCTTTTCTCCCCTCTTCAGGGATATCGGTTGCAGATTAGAGTTCCCAGGAATCGATCGTCGATGCATGGACGATCGATTCCTGGGAAGGGATTCCTCCGACGAGTATCTCCTGGTTCCAGGGTTTTATTACAAGTGGAGAGACGAGGACCCCCAGATATGCGACGACTACCCCTGGGCGTCGCCGCTGCTGGTCGTGCTCTTCTTCTTCTTCTTCAACCTCGGCCTAGGACCTATTCCCTCGGCCATGCTGGGAGACAGCTTCCCGGTCCAGGTTCGGCAATCCTGTGCCAACAGAGTCGCCTTCTTCGGCCATGGCATCACCATTCTGATGATGATCCTCTGCGGCGTCGTCGTCATCCAGCTCGGTCTGTCGCACCTCCTCTGGACCTACTGCGTCTTCACTTGGGCAGGCGCGGCGCTCTTCTGCGTCTTCGTCGAGGAAACTCGAGGAAGATCTCTCCTGGACCTCCAAAGGGAGCAGGTCTTCGAGGTCCCGGAGACATCCGAGGAAAATGAGACCGCGGAAATCTGAGAGCATCGTTTCGAGCTACCGAAGGCCCTTCGTCGCGCTTTTCGTTTTGCCTTATTAACGGCGCCATCAGCTCTAGTGGAGGTCCTTTCAAGGAGGACCTCGCCCTCCCGATTTTTCCTGATCCCGACCTCGACCTCCCACGGGACCCTTCGTTACAGGGATCAGCTCCCATGGGCCGTTCGCCTCCTTTTTGTCAGCGGAATTGATAACCTCCATAGGAGGGGGTTTTAATTAAAGAAATTGCAAGCCGAAGCCAAGATGGGTCAGGGACTCGACAAGGCGTCCCTCGGGAACCTGAACGGGGCGCAACCCCTCGCGAGACAATAATCCACCCCGTATTTGCACACAGAACAGCCGACACGAATCGGTCCGACTCGGTGCATCCCCGGTAATATCGGCGCACGGTGCAGGGGATGCACCTTGAATGGAAGCAGCCTTGCAAAATGCCGTTTAGACGGCGCTCCTGGATACCCGGGTCCCGAGGGATTGCCGGGAGCGGAATCACTGCTGGGAACGACGACCCTCTCTGTATACAACGCGTTTCCGGACTCGTAAACCGGCTGTAAACGGACCTAAGAATATAATCGCATCCCTCGTAGACATTTTATCGCTCCTGGTTTAACATCCTTGCACCGGCAAGGATGGCGTCTTCGGGATCCTCTTCGAATCGCCGATCCGTCTATGCTAATCTGCCGGAAATTTCGGTTCTCCTGGTTTTTATCGAACCGACGATTAACCTCTCGTCGCCAGGAAAATTCTGAAAAATCTGGATAGGTCGGGGATTTCTTTTTGAAAATTCACTTTGGGGGCTTTTCGTCTTGGGTCGATTCGAGGATCCCGGATTTTCTCGGCTATGACTCGCTTCCCTGGGAGCTACTCAAGGAATATCCAGGCTACGTTTATTGCCTTCGTTGCAGGCGCACCGCCGGCCATAATTTGCAATGCAAAATACGAGCACCGTCAGGTGGGGTAATTTTTCTTCTCGCATTCGTCACGACGCATTGAGCGATCGCTCGTAAAGAGCCGCGGGAGCACGCGCTCGAGCATTACTCGAAAAACCGACGCATTGAGGATCGCCGCGTAGTTAATGATTGTTCCCTTGTTCATTGTTCGCGTTCTCGGAGCACGACTCACCGCTTATCCGCTCGCCAGTTATTCCGGTGGTCCGAGGAAAAAGAATGGGGGAAAAAAAAAATAACACCGAGCACGTGGTCCGGAAATTACTAAAGGACGTTTTTCCGCGCCGCTGCGAAGGTACCTCCACTTCAACCGAACATTATCGAGTACTATTAAATGCTGTTCATATCCTCATTGATGTTTCCTAGGTCAATTAACCTTTTCGCGCCCTTTCCACCGGACTCGACGTTGTACTTCTCATTATTCCCTCGTTAGGCAGGGCCACCTCATCGGTGCACTTTTTTCTCCGGGAGAGTTCCCATTGTTTATCCGCGCTTTCGGGACAAGCCGGTCCCTTGGAGATGCATTCGAGCTTTGCGGGCCCGACAATGCGGCGAATCCAACCGTGCTCTCCACGTTGGCTCCCATTATTGTTGCCACTGTAGTTCCTGCCGTGGACAGCGGGGCATATTGCATAGCAAACGCCCACGTATGGTCAATTAACCTGGATGGACGGCGTCCCTGCAGTCCCAATGGTTCTCGGTCTTTGAGAATGCCGCGAGACCAACGGCGGTCGTTAATTAGTCCTTCGTACCTGCGTTACTTCCTCACCGCAGAGAAAATCCCGAGGTCCAATTACGCGTTCATCTCGTCCAACACCGTCGCGACGCCGATGCGCCGGTCCCGCTGCAATGGTGCATCGCGCCCCTCGAAAGGACCACCAAGAGTCCCCGTGAAAGTCCGTCGCATCCGCGCTTTCCCAGTTTCCCTCGATTTTTCTCGCCTTTTTTCTTCCTTTTCCCCGCTTTTCCTCTCTCGGCCTTTCAGCGAAATGGTGTTTCCGAGTGATTACTTGGCCCGGCGGAAATCGGAAGAGAGGCTGCCTCGGAGAGAAGTCGAATTCCTCCGGAGGCAAGCCACTCGAAACCGGGTCGGACGGTGCACTAAATCCCGAGTTTCCCGTAAATTTCTAAACCCCCCCGTAAATTATAGAGCGAGTACTCAATTACCCGAAAATGCGCGCCGGTTAGTGGGATTATTCCGTTATTTCGAGAAATCCAAGTCGCCCGATACGCCGACCGGGATTTGTTCGTCCAGCAGCTGTTGCTCTAACTTGCAGTCGGCCGGGGAGTTTATGCTCGGCTTTCCCTGATTTTCCACGATTTTCCCTAATTTTCCCCGGGGAATGTCCGCCCACGAGGAGCGGGGGAGAAAAACATTCGGGAGAGACGCGGAATCTTTTCCGGCGGCTCGTCGCGTCATCTTGGATCGGCTTCTTTTTCCTCCTCCTCGGTATTCCCGTTCCTCCCACGGAGTATTAAATCTGCGAGTTTCTTCCGTAATGCCTATGGCTCTTATTTCCCTTTTTATTCCGTGGCTTCTCCTTTCAGGGTCGGACCAGAGAGGTACCCTCGGCAATTGAGGATTACCCCGCAGTGGGTATTTATATTTCCCGGTATTTCGGTGAGACCGGCTCCGAATAATATACGGTATTTTTATTTCTATCGGGAAATTATGCTCCCGTTTTACATAAAACGTGGCGAGACTCCCGTCGTCGGCGCATTGAAATGTCGCGCACGACTTGGCAGAAGCGGCCGGATAAAGTGGTTATTTCAGCCGGGAGAAATTTCGCGCATTTCCCGCCGATCGGTATGCATCGGGTGCAAGCTTCGACGTCTCGAGTCGATCGATCGCCGATAATTAACGTTTCGGCATTCCGAGATCGAACGACGAATTTATCGGCCGCGCGTGCCGCGCCTCCGTATCGGTCTTATCACCGCCCACGTGGTCTGGCATCCTTATCACGCCCCACCGACGCAACCGACATCCATCCTCGTCCGAGGCGAGTCCGATTGGACGAGAGGACAATAACGAGTCGGCGGTAAAAATAAACCTCGGCAAAAATCCACCGACTTTTCCTCATTTTCCGCCTTTCCTCGACCTCTACCTCCGCTCGGAGGGAAGATTCGATTAACCGGAAGTGCTCTGCATTCCGCGATCCATCACCGAGAGGACTCGTCCTCTTTTCTCGTAATCGCTCGTCATTATTGCGGCTCGTGTCGTCGACAGGGACCGATGCGAAAACTTTGTCAACGCCCGGAAAAACGACGAGGCGAGCGCCTTCATTTTCTCGGGAATTAAGGAACAACGTGGGCGCTGATAATCCTTATCGTATTTTTGGGAAAAAACGCTCGGGAGGAAAATGCCGCCCGCCGTGGATTCGTTTCACGTGACGTCCCGTTAAACGAAACTCAAAATTTCTAATTGCGACGACAAATTCTGGAAAATTGCCGACTCCAGGAATCGACCGGCTGACGGAGACACTCGATTCTCGGCCGGAGCTTCGAGGCTCGTTATTCCGAGGGAAACGCTCCGACTTAGGTGGGCTTCGAAAGTGTCGAAGAGGATCGGCTGGCGGTCCGCCAAAAAATCCGAGATCCTCTTGGCGCGTTTTCTTTCTAACTGAGATATTGCAAACAGATGTCGGCTCCCACTGACGGCGGTACTACGGTGACAAAAATAACGCCGTCCACACGGCAGGGATTATTATAATCCGCGAGATGCCAGTCAACGGAAGCGACCGAGGCTCGCTAAAAACGGCGCGTTTCGCAAATCACTCGACGCTTCGGATTCCCTCCGAAAGTCCGATCTCGATCCTGAGGTAGTTTTTCCGGGTATTTCGTCGAGCCAGAAGTCATCGCGCACCATTCAGGGAAATTCATTAGTGCCGGAAAAGACGCCGAGAGACAATCGCGAGCGACCTCGAGCTTTCTAACGCGAGTCCGATAGGAGAGCGGGAGAAAATTGGAAAATTCGAAAATTCGAAAATCCGCGAGGACGCGGATAGCCTGGCGGGCTTTTTCCCTCGCTGTTTAATGAAAGCCCTCCTGGCTGGAATACTTTTAATTTCGAGCCCTTTCCCGTAACGAAGGGAGGCGACAGAGGGGCGACCTCGCGAGCGAGAAGAAAGGGCGGAAAGTACGTCGGCCACCATCCGCAAGCTCGACAGGGCCGGCGAGCCTGAGCTTTTTCACCCGAGCAAATCCAGTTAAATTCCGCGCTCGCCGCATAAATGAACCGAGGGAGCTTCGCGAATTAATCCCCGAGATTTTCCCCGGCCAATTCTTCCTCCCCTCGGTCTAGCCCTGATTCGCGAGAAGCGTCGAGGAGGAAAATCGAGCTTTCTCCGCTGGCCGGAAATGCCTTCGACCCAAAACCGATCAAATTTTCCTCGAATTTCCCGCACACCGTATTTCGAGCACGCAGAGCTCCAATTCGCCGATGACATTAATTGGAAGGAGCATACAGAATTTTTTCCAAGAGTCTTAAAGTGTTATCAAAGGGTCATTGTATATATATATATATCGAGAGGTCGAGACTTGACGCCACTTTCGCATCAGCTTAAGTATGAGAGGTCGAATTAAGCTCATGGAAGGAGAACTGGAAAGCTCCGAGGAAGAGGGTAGCCCTCTTCCTCGGGTGCTGCCGGCTCGCTCGGAATCCGAAGGACCCTCCCCCCTCTTTCCTGGAAAGCTCGGTAAAATTCTGAGCAGGCGGGGAAAAGCGCCCTTGAAATTGGAAACGAGCTTCCGTCGCGGCGGGGGGAATTAATGCGAGGCTCGTCTCAAGTTCGCCGGGCGAGACATTGCGTGCCTTCGCCCTCCCCGGGGATCCATATTGCTTTATCAGCATATTTGCGGACCCGGAGCTTTCCGGTTTCCTACGTGAGGGCCCGCAAGCTCCATTGAAGCAAGGCCTCGGACCTTGGTATCGAGACCCGTCTTCAAGGTGTCACGTCGAGGCGACTCCTCGCTCGAGCCTTGCGAAAGGGAAAAAAGCTCGGGCATTTTGCGAAGGTTTCCCACGTTTTTCCCTCGAGGTCCTGAATTGGTGGGCCGATGGACCATTCGAGACGAGCTTGCAAGTTCCGCGTGCCCGATCCATCCCCGATAATTAAGTGCTC